AACTTAAAGCTGAGTCTGATGACATTCTTGGTGAAGAAGTCTTCTAAACCCTCATCCAGTTTTCCCATCAGGCTGTTCTGCTCTGAGCCTCCAGCGGCCTCCAGCTGAAAAACAAAGAAAAAAATAATGATATAGGATATTTTCAGCACTTAGATTCTGCCATAACTTAACCTACTTCAAGCAATCATAATCCAATGATTTAAATATCGTTTAAAACAACTTCATGATAAAATAACTAATTAAATAAGCTGGACTAAATCTCCCACTGATAATTAAACTACAACTTCTGTGCTACAAATAAATAATTAAACAACTACAGGGACTATTTTTTGATGGGAACCATACTGGTGCTCTGCTGGGTTTAGTCCTCTTCTTCGGTTTTGGGCGGAATTTGGTGCAGTTATTCAGAGTCTTGTGCTCCACGGGGGGCAGCTCGCCAAGACACACAGATGTGGTGTCTGTCGGAGTCGGGGGAGGRGGCAGATCTCCGTAGTGCGACATTCTCTCCGAGCTCTGTAACGGAGGAGGGGAAGGGAGAGGCGGGTCCTCGACGTGGATCGGAACTTCCTCCAGAGCTTTGTCCAGGTCAAACTCCATCTCTGTTAGTCAAACAGAACAACAGCGGATGAGTTTAATGAGYCAAAATGGATAAAAACAGCAAAGTCAAAAATGTATTTGAATTTTATTGCTTTTAGAATACATTTTATGTATTTTCTACTTTGTTTTAATAAGCTTTAGAAATAAAACCTACTTATTTTCTTACACTCAGAGGTATGATAACACAATGTGATGTTTTTTGGTCACTCACCAAACGCCACAGATACGGGCCGCAGCATTCTGACCAGAATACTTTTCCTCTTAGATTTAGGAGTCATCTAATGAACACAAATAAGYGGTTTTTTAAGTAAAATCACAGCTTTTAAAACAACTTTCAGGAGTTCCAGTATTCAGTATTACCATGCAGGACTCCATATCATCCAGCGCACGTTTCTGGTCTCGATCCCGTTTGTGGTCCTTGTCATGTTTCTCCGGCTGCAGAACGGTCTCATCCAGAACTTCCGTCTCAGTCTGTGCTTCGTGGTGCATAGGTTGGTCTTTTCTGATCAGGTGATCCGCCTGAGGACAGATCGAGATGAAAGAACATGAAAAAAAGAAGAAAAAAAAGGCGAAAAAGTAGCAACGCAGAGAGGGCACTGACCAGAGTGTTTTGTGATGATGACAGAGACTCCAGGATCTCGTCCGCAATGCGATCAGACAGAAACGAGGCCATGCTGAGCTTCACTTCACTTTTACACACAAAAAAGAGCAAGTGATGGAGAAACTCAAACTTCTGATAAATGATAATAAATCATTTACTTGGTCACATAAATAGTTTGAAGATTTTACTGTGTTGGGATTTGATTGCAAAAATACCTGGCTTTTTCAGAAATAAATTTCAAGAGTATTATTGTGCAACACAAACACACACAGCTGTGTCCAGCTATCTATATGGGGACATTCTGTTGACTTCCATTCATTTCTACAGYCTAATCCTGACCCCCTATCTTAACACTAACCTCACAGGTACATACCTGACCCTAAACCTAAACTAAAGTCAATTCACATCTTGGTCCTAAACCCTGACTCAYCAATGGCATTTCCCCAAATGSGGACTTGGCTTAGATTCCGTATGTTCAATAGGTCCACACGTAGGTGTTTTGTCTAAAAATGGTCCTCATATAGTAGGAAATACACGCCCACACACATCTTTGTTCTTGTATCAAACTGAGGACATTTTATTGACTTCCATTCATTTTTGTAACTGTATTATTGTCTAACCCAGACATTTTTCATAAAATTAATCATTACTGGTCTATACTTAACACTAACCTGAACCAAAACTTAATTCACACCGTACCTCTGAACCTAACTAGTAAAGCACAGCAGAGCTGCAAAAAAGTGAAGACCAGAAAAATGTCCTCACTCTACACCATGGGTGGGCAATCATGGTCCTCAAGGGCCACAGCCCTACATGTTTTACATTTTTCCCAGCTCCAGCACACCTGATTCAGTCACTGAACTACCTCTTCCAGATTCTGCAGTATGGAGGACCGACACTGACATAATTAGAAATAAAAGCAGAATTATATGAACCACTAAATAAATACACTTAAAATGCACCAATTAAATTTAAAAAGGAGAACTTTATCTCCTGTTTTATATTTTAATTGACTTTCAGTTTTATTTTTCCAGGTTAGTTCCAATAAATGAGTCTATATATTTGAACACATAATTGACATTTTACTGTTTTTTAAAATATATTTTAA